GTCTTGGCTGGGGAGAGTTCTACACCCTTCCAATTCTAAGATTCTGTGGCCTGATGCTTTTGAATCTATAAGATTGAATAGATTTGAGCATCTGAGTTTGGGAAGCTGGGACAAAATAGACAGAGAGAGGTAATTTAGCTCAGTGGTCAAGTGGGTGGGCCCTGGAGCCACACTGCTTGAGTTCAAGGACTGGCTCTGCCACTTGCTGTCAGGCCTTGGGTAAGTTGCTTAACCTCTCCAAACTTCAACATCTTCAGGTGTAAAGTGGGAATAATAATAGTACCTATACCTTGAAGGACTGTAGGGACAATTAAATGAGATAATGTATGAATGAACAGTCTGGTACATAGTAAGCATTTCAATACATGTTAGATTTGATTAATACTAAGAAAAATACTAACTTAGGTTCACCAACCCTTGAGTTTTAATGAACAAATCACTCCACCCCTGCTTAAGCCAGTGCTCCCTCCCAGGTAAGGACCCTACCTATAATTTGGTAACCATATCAGAGACCATATAAGCAGAGTTTGAATCTCTAACAGGTACCCAGAAAAAGCACTCTCAGTTTTCAGACCTGGCTTGTATTTGCAATACGGAAGACTGTAATATCACACTTGTGTTTGCAGTGAAATTACTGAGGAGAAAACAACGCTCATCGTTTGTGGGCCAGTCTTCCTGTCTCTCATTACTATTTCAGCTTCTGGAACAATCGAGCTCTCATCCAGTTTTCATCACATCACCTACGTTGCTGAAGAAACCGGTGACTCTCCTTTGCTTAGTGGCTCAGACCTAAACGCCTCAGCTTAGCATTTGAAGCCTTTCTCACCCAAGGATTTTATTTCTGGCCCCTCTGGGCAGGCTTAGAAAGCATTAGATGGATTCCAGCCCTGGGTAACTGCTTACAGCAAAACAAAACAAGTCTTATTGCTGCAGTATAATTATCAGACAATAAAACTGTACATATTTAAAGTGTACAACTTGATAAGTTTTTCACATATGTATACACCTATGAAACTATCACCACAATTAAGATAGTGAACATATCCATCACCACACTAAATTTTCTCATGCCCCATTGTAATCCCTCTCTCTCTCCCCAAGCAACCACTGATCTGCTGTCACTACAGAGTAGTTTGCATTTCCTAGAATTTCATATAAATGGAATCATATAGTATGTACCTTTTTTTTGGAGGGGTCTGGCTTCTTTCACTTGATATATATATTTTGAAATTCAGTCATGCTTTTTCGTGTATAAATAGTCAATTCCTTTCTATTGCTAAGTAGTTCCATTGTATGGATATATCACATTTTGTTTACCTTTTCATCAGTTGATAGACGTTTGGGTCATTTCCACTTTTTACCTATTATGAATGATGCTGCTATAAACATTCCTGTGCAACTCTTTATGTGGACATATGTTTTCATTTCTCTGGGATATATACCTAGGAGTGGAATTGCTGGGTCATATGGTAACTCTGTGTCGAACTACTTGAGGAATTGCCAGACTGTTTTCAAAAATGACTGTACCATTTTACATCCCCAACTGCAGGGTATAAGAGTTCCAGTTCCTCCACATCTTGAGGCCTTTCTTTAGCCACCATCTCCTCAGTGTCATTTTTCCTTGCTTCTCCTCCTCCAGGAGTTTCTTCCCATCCACTCCTTTGGTGGTCTCGTTCAGTCTCTTGGCTTTAAACATCATCCATCTGCTGACAACACCCACATTTCTATCTGCAGCCACCGTTCTCCCCTGAACCCCAGACTTATCCTGGTTTGGCCACATGGTCCTGGTTTATGCTTATTATCCTGACACAATTATTAATAGTGTTCTGGTGTATTAGTTTCCTATTGCTGCTGTAACAAATTACTGCAAACTCGGCGGTTTAAGCAACACAAATGGATTATCTTATAGTTCTGGAAGTCAAAAGTCTGATGTGGGTCTCACTGTGCTAAAATCTAGGTGTCTAGCAGGACACTTTCTGAATGATGGGACATAAACAGGTCCCTTTCTGGAGGCTATAGGGGAAAGTCCATTTCCTGGCTCATTCAGGTTGTTGGCTGAATTGAATTCCTGTGGTTGTAGGACTGAAGTTCCCATTTTCTTGCTGGCAGTCAGCTGAGGGTTATTCTCAGCTTCTAGAGGCCACCTCCATTCCTTGGCTCCTGGGCACCTTTGTCTTCAAAGCCAGCAACAATGAATCAAGTCCTTCTTATGCCTCATTTCTTCTGCCTCTTGTTCCATCCTTGAGTCTCTCTGACCCACTCTTCCACTTTTAAGGACTTGTGTGATTAGATTGGGCCCACCCATATAAGCCATGATAATCTCTCCGTCTCAATGTCCTTAACCTTAATCACATCTGCAAAGTCTTTTTGCCATTTAAGGCAAATACTCACAGGTTCTAGGGACTAGGATGTGGCCACCCTTGGAGGGGTCATTATTCTGTCTACCACAACTGGTTTGGACAATTACACAGACAGCCTATGCTTGAGCCAATGGTTTACTTGACTTCTCTACTTGGATGTCTCCATGGGCATTTTTTCTTTTTGAGGAAGATCAGCCCTGAGCTAACGTCCATGCTAATCCTCCTCTTTTTGCTCAGGAAGACCGGCTCTGAGCTAACATCCACTGCCAATCCTCCTCCTTTTTTTCCCCCCAAAGCCCCAGTAGATAGTTGTATGTCATAGTTGCACGTCCTTCTAGTTGCTGTATGTGGGACACGGCCTCAGCATGGCCGGAGAAGCGGTGCGTCGGTGTGCGCCCGGGATCCGAACCTGGGCCGCCAGCAGCGGAGCGCGTGCACTTAACTGCTTGGCCATGGTGCTGGCCCCAAAAGAGAACTTTTAACTCCTTCCCTACCAAAACTCTGGCCCTCACCAGTCTTCTCCACATCAGCAAATGGCAACATTATCTCCCTTGTTACTCAAGTCAAAAGCCAAAAACCTAGGTGCCTTCCTTTTATTTCCTACATTCAATTGCTCAGCAAATCCTGCTGAGTCCAACTCCTAAATATGTCTTGAACCCATTCTCCTCTTCATCTTTATTGCCGCCATTCTAGTCCAAGCCATCATTTCTTACCTGGACTTTGTAATAATCTCTTAACTGGTCTTCCCACTCACAGCCTTGCTTCCCTCCAATCTATTATCCATGCAGCAACCAGAGGGATATTTTAAAAATGAAAATCAGATTTTATTCCTTCTCTGCATAAAAACCATCAGTGACTCTCCACTGCATTTAGAATAAAATCTAACTTCTTACTATGGCCCAAATGGCCGTCTGATCTGGCCCTCTATCCAACCTCGTCTCCTACACTCGCTCATTCACTCACCACTCTGGCTACACTCATCTCTTTGCTGTTCACTGAGTCTTCCCCACCACCAGTACCACTTCTGCACTTTCTGTTCCCTCTGCCAGGAGTGCTCTTCTCCCTAGTTCTTTGCATGGTTGGCTCATTCTCATCTTATAGGACTCATCTCAAAGGTCAACTCTCAGAGTGGCCTTCCCTGGCTCCCTGATTTAAAATATTTCCCTCACCCTCACATAATTCTCTAATAAGCACCCGGTTTATCCCCTTCATAACATTACAATCTGTAATCACCTAGCTTATTGATTAGTCTACTTTTGTATTGACTGCCACCCTCACTAGAATGTAAGCTCCATGAGGGCAAGGACCTTATCTGCCTCATGTCCCACTGTGTCCAGAGTGCCCAGCATGCCCAGCAGTTGTTGAATAAATGCATGAACTCTATTCCAAACACCTTGTGCTTGCTTCCACCTCTGTGACACTGCACATGCCCTGCATTCCACCTGCAATGCCCTCCAACCTATTCTTTTTTTTAATTTTTATTTATTTATTTTTCCCCCAAAGCCCCAGTAGATAGCTGTGTGTCATAGTTGCACATCCTTCTAGTTGCTGTATGTGGGACGCAGCCTCAGCACGGCCAGAGAAGCAGCGCGTCGGTGCGCGCCCGGGATCCGAACCTGGGCCGCCAGCAGAGGAGCGTGCACTTAACCGCTAAGCCACGGGGCCGGCCCCAACCTATTCTTGACCAACTAACATCCTCTCACTTCCTTCCAAACGTAGTTCAAGACTCATTACCTCCAAAACCCCCTGCTCATTTCTGGCCCTTCTCAACTATGATGATCCCCTTAATCATTGATTCAGTAAGTATACATTGAGGCCCTTGGCAATCTTGTGAACAGTTGTTACCACATTATCATGCCTTTGCTTGTGTTTGCTTTGTAATTATAGTCATTTCATGTATGTAGGCATGTTTTGTTCCTTAAGACTGTAAGTGACTCCTGGGTCAATATTGCCTCACATTTCTTTATTACAATTTTCCTAAAGCACTTAGTCCAGTTTGGTGCAGACTGCCAGCCATAAAGTAGAAAAGCAGAACACACCCTTCTTACCTCTGAGAAAATGAACATAGCTGGGAGTTTATTTTAGGAACAGAACTAGAGTTTTAAAGAGTTGTTCTGAAATTAGAAAAATGAGGCATATTCTTTCCCCCATTCAATTTATTGAAAAAAATAAAAACTGCAGCTCAGAAAACATTCCTCTGTGTGGCAGTAGCAAGAGCTTAGCTATCTATCTCATAATAGTTGGGGAAGAATACACAGAAGATATTAACATGATGTAAGTAAACTGAAGTTAGGATTTAGATTTAGTAAAAAAATAAATTTTTTTTTTCAGATTTCAGAACTTTTTAAAAAGTTGTTCACCTCAAGGAAAACAGTAACAAATATGAAATATTCACTCTGGGTAAAGAATTTGCCACCCTCCAAACTCTAACAAACACATTGGGCCACAGATGAGATTTTCACATGGGTATTAACTGCTATTCCCCATAAAACGCAGTCTGCCACAGCAGTTGGAAAAATGAGTGATTTTGGTATATTTTAACTCTGAGAGGTTCTGAGAGTTTAAAGATTTTGGCCAGTATATATTTAACCATAGTTTTATAACTCATATTAGTGATAAATGACTAACGCATCATTTTTCTTTGGAAAATAAATTTAATGGGGAAAAATACTTTCAACATATTGAAAGCTTCTGTGTGTGTGTGTGTATATATATACATAAATTAACAACTTAATATTGGATACTGTTTTTTTAATGCATAGATAGGCACTACTCAAAAGTATAGTTATATAAACTTGACATAGAATCCCCAAGGTGGAACAATCTGCAATTTGATTTTTTAAAAATCTAGTAGAGATGATTAGCCTGACTGAAGTGTTTTTCAGTTACATTTTTTTTGGTATGTGTGCTAAATGTTCTATTTGATCCTTTGTAGGCAACCGGGATATCTGGTGAGAATAACTTAAGTTGACTAAATAATTTATTTTCAGGGTAGGCTTGCAAGCAAGTTAAAAAGGCAGAGAATTCAGGCCACTTGAACTGTACACGACTTCAAGTGGAAGGTCTTTCGGAGCATAATTAAGCAGTCATGGTAAATACTGCCTTCCTGAAACACAAGATTCTAAGGCTGGGATGCTTCAAATTTAAATAAAGAAGGACGGTTCTACAATGATAGTGATAACTTTTAAATGTTAAATGTTTTCATTTAGTTTCTGATAAGGCATACTTTACATTGTGGTGTGTACACTCAGAAGTCAGGAAAAATTATGAGTTCTAGAACTGTATTGGGAAGCCTTGGGTCAAATTGAGTGAAACTAGGCTGACGTGGGTTACTGTAAGCTGTGACCCTGTGGCTGAGCTCCTGACGTGGTATCTGCTCAGCCACTTCAACTGCACGTTGCTTTGAGGTGTCATGGCAATGCCCTTTCTTTGGTGCCGTGTAAATTGCACGTTTACATTCAGAGTGTAAATTGCACATTCCATTAGTGCTATAAAATCTGTTATAAAATCTGGTAGATGCCATCATGAGACGGTCATGATGGGAAACCTTCCCATGGTGCAGGTGTTCACAGGGACATCAGTCTGGAGCTCAGAGGGGGTGCACAGCTGCGTCTTCTCATTTCCAAGAGCAGCATTTCTCGTCGCTCCACACGTGCACAATTATGAGGCTACATTTATCTGTGATTACAACACACCTTCAGTCAGTGCACTTCTAGTGCCATTCAGTTTTAAAGAGTTGGCTTTTTAGACTTTAGTCGACCAGTTTTGAAGAACTTCTTTAATTCGCGTAATTCCTGGGGCTTCAAACTCTGATCCACCCCTGGGGTCAATTTATAGGTCAGAGGAGACACAATGTAACCATTTTGGTAAAGACAGATTCTCTTGCAGAACTCAAAGGTGCCAAACATAACTCCAAAATATGGAACTATCTGTTTAGAAAGAAAATGAAACTCATGTTAAAATCCTAAAAAGAAAACGTCAATGAGTCTGCAATCAATTGCATCAGGGTAAACTGAGACAAAGTCTGTGGACAACACAACAGAGTTCTTTTTGGAATCAGGGAAGATGGCAGAATGAAAGCTGGCACAGTGAGTGGGGGAGAAGAATGGCCGAGTGATGGAAGGGCATGCCCCGGGGAAGCATGGGTCTAGATTAATATGCACGTTGACATATGCCTGTCAACATATGCTTGTCTTGACTGGAATCATTCATGCGTCAACTAGTGCAAGGTTAGTCCAGAGTTCTTAACCTTAGTTTTTGGTCCTGGAGTTCTTTGGGAATATGATGAAAGCTATGGATCCTCTCCCCAGAAAGATGCATGTATGCACATACATACACATTTTTCCATATGATTTTAGGATGGGGGGTTAGATTCCCCTTAGGAGTCCATGAACCCCCCATGTTAGGAACCCCTACACTAAATGCTCAGCTCCTCTGAGATGCGGTATCAGATGCCCAACACCGCACAAGGTCTCCTCTCTTCAGGGCTGACTGCCAGCCTGCAGTCATGGGCCTTGTGCTACCATCAGTGCTGGAGGGGGCGTTTCCATGCAAACTGTAGGGGGAGCGGCAAAGGAACAGGGTAGAATTGGGAGACACAGAGAAGCAGTAGAGACTGACCACTCCTCTCACCTTCAACAAGTTGGCTGTCAATCCATTCCAGAGCCCCAGTACCCCTTGGGCCTTCACTATCTGCCGGAAGCAGTCCACTGCTCCTGAGAAATGGACGTCGACTCCTCCACAGTGGGGAAGGTAGGGGCTCTGAGCCTGGCAGGAAATAGAAGATGGGATGAGGTGATTTAGTCACCAGGAAATAAATGTTCTAGTCAAAGTAGCCAGGGTCTCAAGTCTGGACTCCAGATGCAATGTCCTGGCCAAGGTGAGGGCAAAGAATGGCTGCCACAGGGCTCTTCTTGTTCCATGGGCTTAGAACGAATATTAATAAGCAGTCAAGTCATGATGCTCTGTTCACATACTTGTGGTTTATTGTGCTTAGAAGGAAGCAGCCATTTGGGACAGAGTCAACTTCACACTTAGCTTGCTTTCCAACCTATGCCCTCTGGACATGATAAACACACTCCCATGTCCTTACCCTTTTTAAAGTGCCCTCCTGCTTCCCTGTCTTAACTGATCCCTTCTCTGTGAAGCTCTCAAGTGGGGGCTGCTCATTTCCCCACTTCACAGATGTCCCAGGGTGGGGAGCAGAGTGATGGTGGCATTCTTCTAGCTCCCTCTTGCTGTTCCCAGACTCTGACTCCTTCCCTCTCATGCCAGAAGCTCTCAGCTGGGGCTCATGTCACTGAACCATATTCTTTGTCGCTGCTCTCATCTACTGACCTCCTGGCCACTCTTCCACATTCACTGAAGACTGTGACATCTGTTGGCTCCCCGTCTCCCAGATTCACCACCATCTCAGGGGATGTGGGCATCTATAAAGACAACCCATCCCATACGCAGTTTCTGGACCTTGACTGCAGTGATCCTCACCTCTACACCTCTTTGGCCACCCCATGTACTTTATCACCACCCCCAGAACTATCCTGACCAATCACAAAATGCCTTCTCTCCGAAAGTAACTTTTTTGTCCTTTTGTTCCCCTTTAGAAAAACAATTTTATGATCAGATGAAATGACTTTCAATATACTATCTAGATAGAAAATTAACACTACTTGTCCACTATGAGAAAACCAGCCCCCATAGCTGGTTTTCAGAAATGGTGTCAAGTTCACATTAAGTTATGCACATACTTTGGGTTGTTTCTGAAATGTCTAGTTGCAGTGGAACCCAGATTTTCCGTGTGGGAGAGGCAGTATAGGACACCAGTCAGAAGACCAGAAACTCTGGAGGTGGGCAGGTCGGGGTCTAGGCTGGCTGCTTCACTTACTGGCCGTCTGACCCTGGGCAACTTACCTAACCTTCTTGAGCTTCAGTCTCCTTATTTAGAAAATGGGAATAGTACCTGCTTCATGGGGCTGTTGTGACAATTAAACGGGATGGGCATGTAAAGCACTCTGCAGTGCCAGGCACATAGCCAGGATCAGTAAATATGAGCTAGCATTGCTATTACTATCATGGAGAAAGTATTCTAAATATCAACCACATTCCTTACCTAACTTATGAGTCCTCCATATCCATTTCTGAAATCTTACACCTCAGAACTGCTCGGACCAGTGTCCTCATCCATCTAGCTCCCCACTCCCTGATTCCTATTAGTCAGAATCATTCAGATCATTAACCTCTCTAGTCACTTGCCCTCTCCTTTATCTTCCAGGCCACCAGTTCCCTACTGGCTTCGCAGGCCTCCTTTTTCATCCTCGCAGGTCCTTTTTTTGTTCCTACTCTCAAAATCCTTGCCCCTTGTCCTTCAGCTGATTCCCGTTCCCCCCCATAAACCCCTTCTCTGCTTCAAGCCACTGAAGATGAATCCACAAAGGGGCAGATTGGTACCACTGAAGCTTCGAGGTCTCTAACCTTGGCTAGAACCTCATACTGTGAAGCAAGCCTTCAAAGCATCCTTTCTCATTCCTCACGCTGGCTTTTCCCTCCCACACCCCTCAACGCCCTGCACCCCACACAATGCCCTGCACCCCACACTCATTTCGTCCACTTTAGGTGGGTGACCTCACCTCCTAGTTCATAGGGAAAACAGATTATACAGCACCTCAACTTTTGCTTCCTTGCATAAACATCTTTTTTTCCCACCAATGCCCTGGATCTCACACTTTTGAACTCCTCTTGGGCACCTTTCTCAAGAGACCTGACTTCCCCCCCAGCACGTGAATAAACTCAAGTCCCTCTCGTCTTAAAAACAACTCCTTCCTCCAATCTTAACTTTGCACTTCAGATACTGCCCAAATTAACACATAGTAAAATTACCTTGTTTTGGTGTGGAGTTCTAGGAATTTTAACACACATAGATCTGTGTGACCACCACCACAATCAGGATACAGAACTGCTCCATCAGCCCCCAGAATTCTGTGCTGCTCCTTTGTAGTCACAGCCTCTCCCACCCCACGCCCTGGGGAACTACTAATCTGTTCTCTGTCCCTATAGATTTGCCCTTTGCTAATGTCATATAAATGGGAACATACAGCATGTAACCTTTTGAGACTGCCTTCTGTCACTCAGCACGATGTCTCTGAGATTCATCCATGTTGTGGTGTTCATCAATAGTTTCTTCCTTTTCATTGCTGAGTAGTATTCCACCGCATGGATGTACCACAATTTGGTTATCCATTCTCCTGTTGATGGAAATCTCTTTCTCTTTTCATTTGCACTTCCTGAAATAGCTGTCTATTCTGGCCAACTCCACTTCCTCCCTTCCCACTCACTGCTCTACTCATTGCCATCCAACATCTGTCTCCATTACTCTGCTTCACTGATTCTGGCCAGGCCTATATCTTTTCCCTGCCTTGATTTTCTTCAGAGTACTCATTGCCTTTTAATATTTGGTATAATTATTTATTTTCTTTATTTGTCTGCTCCTACCCCCAACTAGAATTTCAGCTCTGTGGGAAAAGGGATTTTTGTCCTCCATCAAGGTGAAGGGTAAACTTGTGGGTTAGACCTTCCCTTTGAGGCACAGTAACAACCAAGCACAGACCAGAGTATAAGAAACAGAACATGAAATGGACAAGCTGAGGGCCGGCCTCATGGCTTAGTGGTTAAGTGCGCGCGCTCCGCTGCTGGCGGCCCGGGTTCGGATCCTGGGCGCGTGCTGATGCACTGCTTCTCCGGCCATGCTGAGGCCGAGTCCCACGTACAGCAACTGGAAGGATGTGCAGCTATGACATACAACTATCTACTGGGGCTTTGGGGGGAAAATAAATAAATAAATCTTAAAAAAAAAAAAAAAAAGAAATGGACAAGCTGAGTCTCCAGCTTGGAGTTACAGGAGCCAAAACAGCTGGCTCTAGCACACCACTTGAAGGCTACAGGCCCTACGTGATCTGCCCCTGCACACCTTTTCAACTTCACCTTGTGTCACTCTTGCTCACATGCTACATTTCAACTTCACTGGCCTTTTTTCTGTTCTCCTCTGCCTGATGATTTCCAAATTTCTATCTCCAGCCTCAATCTCTCCTCTGAGCCACAGGATTGTGTCACCAACTCCCTACATGACATCTCCACTAGGAAGTCTAATAAACATCTCAAGCTGTGTACATCCCAATCAGAACTCCACCCCAACCCTGACTGTCCTCTAGTTGTTCTCATGTCAGTAAATGGCATTGCCATTGACCTATTTGCTTAGGCCAAAAACCTGAGTCGCCCTTTAGTTCTCTCTGTCCCTCACCTTCTATTATCTCATCTATCTCCAGCTAGTTCCAGTGCCTCCAAACATGCCCCAAATCTGTCCACTTTTCTTTCTTTCCACTATCGTCATCCTAGTCCAAGCCACCAGCATCTTTCACTTTCACTACAACAACTGTGTCTAGCCAGTCTACCTGCCCTTATTCCCCACATAGCAGTCAGAATGATCTGATCAGGTTACTCCCTTGACTTTAACTCTTCATTGCCCTCAGGATAAAGTCCAGACTCTTTCATCTGGCTTACCAGGCCCTCCATGACCTGCCCTCTGCCTACTTCTCAGTCTGATCTCTTACTACTTCCTGCATTGTATTCTACGCTTCAGATACTTTTCAGTTCCACTGCCAGTACCTTGCATCATCTCTCTCTTGAGTGAGGACCACAGTTTCCTTATCCAGCCCCTCACCCCCAGTTTCTGTTCTTTCCACCCATCCTCCACATTGCAGCCAGGTACCACTCCAAATTCATCGGATGCTGTCATTGCTTTGCTCAGAAACCTTCACCTACTCCCAATTTTCTAAAAAACTTCCAGAAGAAAAGTTTTCAAAAGAAAAACTTAACAGAACTCAAAACCCTCTACAATTTGGCATCCACTTTTCTTTCCAGTATTATTTCCCATTAATCACCTCTTGATGGTTAATTTCATGTGTCAACTTGGCTAGGCCACAGTACCCAGATATTTGGTCAAATATTAGTCTAGATGTTACTGTGATGGTTTTTTTAAGACGAGATTAACATTTAAATCACTAGATTTTTTTTTCTTTTTTTTTTTTTTTTTTTTTTTTTTTAAAGATTTTATTGATTTATTTTTCCCCCAAAGCCCCAGTACATAGTTGTCTGTCATAGCTGCACATCCTTCTAGTTGCTGTATGTGGGACACGGCCTCAGCATGGCTGGAGGAGTGGTGCCTCGGTGCGCACCCGGGATCCGAACCCGGGCCGCCGGCAGCGGAGAGCACGCACTTAACCGCTAAGCCACGGGGCCGGCCCTAGATTTTTTTTTCTGATGAGAACTTTTAAGATTTATTCTCTTAGCAACTTTCAAACATACAGTACAGCATTATTAACTATAGTCACCATGCTGTACATTACCTCCCCAGGATTTATTTATTTATCTATTTATCTATCTATCTATTTATTTATTTATTTTTGTGAGGGAGATCAGCCCTGAGCTAACATCCATGCTAATCCTCCTCATTTTGCTGAGGAAGACTGGCTCTAAGCTAACATCTGTTGCCAATCCTCCTCCTTTTTTTCTCCCAAAGCCCCAGTATATAGTTGTATGTCATAGTTGCACAGCCTTCTAGTTGCTGTATATGGGACGTGGCCTCAGCATGGCAGGAGAAGCAGTGCGTTGGTGCACGCCTGGGATCCGAACCTGGGCTGCCGGTAGCGGAGTGCGCGCACTTAAGCGCTAAGCCACGGGGCCGGCCCTTAGTTATTTATTTAAAAAAATTTTTT